CTTCACAATTGACCAGCCCAACAGGCAAGCCTGATCTCTTAAAAAAAATTGCTCCCTTTTATTTATAACTGAGGTGAATGGTGAATCAACGTCATTCATAGATATGGTATGCGAACTCTAAACTATCTCCACTTCCGATGTGGTTTGTATTTGTGGTTCCCTTCCATTTTCATGATTTTCAACAAACAATACATATATCCATTTTATAGTTACCCTAATTATTATTATTTTGCATTAATGTGAGATATAAAAATAATACTTGTTATATACGACAACGTAATTATGAATATCTACCAGGCCAACACCCTCACCATTCTATTTTTCCCGGCCTCTCCGCAGAGCTAGGAAGGATTAATTAATCTTTTTACATCTCATCAATCGATAGAAATAGAATAGGGTGTTGGACTGTTGGCATGACATGCTGTGGGCTTGGCTCAAGGCAATTAGAAATCAATTTATTGGACGCCGCTAGATTCATTTTATTAGCAACTTTTACCCCCCTTCCCACTAATTAAGAAATTAATACATTTTCGGTCCATAATTTTATTGTTCATGGACCTAATAATCTTCCAAGTCATACCAAGTTAGATAGGAACATTGTTTTAACTAATGAAATAATCTTGATTTATGCAATGGTAATGGACAATTTAGTGGAATAGTATTCATGATTTAATCGATAATAAATGGTGTATGTATTATCATTGTTTTGTACAAATAAATATTCAATGTGCATTACACCGATATAATATCGATCAAAACCCCTTTCTATACTTTCTATTTTTCGTATGAACATTTAAAAGTGATTGATATGATTTTTTTATACTACACAAATTTGATTGACCGTAATAATTTTTTTGATTTCGCCAAACAATATGGTATGATAAAGTATTATCCATGCAACAATATGCATGAAATTAACGATACACCTGATATTGGTCAAGATAAATTTGACCCTAAACTCTCGGTTATGGTTTAGGACAAAGGTTGAACACATATTAGTTAATAACTAGATTATAGCTTTATTTTGTTCAAATAATCGTTGTTAAAAAAGAAAAAATTTAATATTGACCTATGGAGTACGGAGAAACTTAATTCATGTCTTTGAGTGAAGGGTTTAGGATTTTAGAATGAAATTAAAAAGAATATTCTTAATATGCCTATTAGTGAGTGATGAGAGGTTTGTTAGTTTAGATCCGGTCAAGGTATGGATCCTTATGAAATTTATTAGTTTACAACCCAGTAGGTTTGTCAAAGATGGAAGAGACTGATTTTAGTGGAGGATTACGTACCTAAAGAATTTATTTAAAAATATGCACAACATTCTCAAATAGACATCAAGAGTGCTTTTTAAGACTTAGACGTGAGGTAAAAACAAAATTAACTCATAAGAAAATTGTTAGATGTATCATTTGAGCTGATAACAACGTTATTATCTGTGTTTCTATTTGGTAGTAAGGTTGTCAAACCGCAGGTCGACCCGGACCCGGATGAGATAGTGGGTCATGAGTTAATGGGTCACCCGGCTTAGCCCGGAAATATGGAAAATGTATTTATATTGTGCCCTCCCCCTTTAATCAATTGACTACACAACAAACATTTGTGCCACATCTTTCCTGTATCTGAGATGATTCACTTGGCATACTCCCAAGTTGGATCCTTCTTTTGTCGATATCCACTACCGGCAGCATTGCTATTTGCTAGCAACAGATGGTTGCGATGATTCGTTGCCGGATGCCATTCTCAAAACCTGAAAATCACATAACTATATCAATACATAGCTATATGAAAAAAAGAAATCAATCTGAAATTCTTCTTCCACACATAAACAATCCAATATTCCAATCCAAATGATTACTCACAAAGGAACAATTAAACTTCAACAATTGGACCGAGAGTTGGCGAAGGCAGGGGCCAAATGCCAAATCCCAAATATCCATTAACATTTATTGCAACCAAATCCCAAATGGCCAATTGCCAAATCCAGCAAAAACGCACCAAAGTAAATCGGAGTTGAAAGGCAGATGAGAAAAGCTTCGATTGGCAAGAAGAAGAGGCAGGGGCGACCGAGACCAGGCAGAGGCAGGGGTGGCCGAGTTGAGCTGCCAGCAGGGGCGACCGAGACGAGGCAGGGGCAGGGGTGGCCGAGCTTGACCGAGCTCGAGGCGGAGGCAGGGACAGGAACGGCAGAGCTTGAGGGAGCTCGAGGCGGAGGAAGGGACAGGAACGGCAGAGCTTGAGGGAGATCGAGGCGGAGGAAGGGACAAGGACAGCCGAGCTCGAGGCAGAGGCAGGGACGGCGACCTGGAGCGAAGCTGGGAAGGTCGATTCTCGCCGCTGCGCAGCAAGGAGCTGGAGATGGAGGGTCGTCAGTCGCCTGCGGGAATGGAAGGATGAGCGGCTCGCCCGTGTAGGGTTTCTTTGTGCTCTGCATCATTTTGCAATTTCACTCCAATTCCACCAAACGACGCCGCGTATTTGCAACGGCCCGCAGCCCGCTTGACCCGTTCGGACGAGTCAACCGCCCGGGTTCCACCGGGTTTGACCGGGTTTAAGCGAGTTTGACCTTATCCGGGCTGATTGTGAATTGGGTTGGTATAGCCCGTTTTTCAAAGCGGGTCCGGGCCAACTCGGGTCGACCCGCGGGTTGACAACCTTGGGTAGTAGGATGGCTTACTGCTTTGTTTTCATCCCATATTTTAGGTTGTCCATCAAGCATTTTTCCTGTATTATTTGTACACTTTTAATTACTCATTTAAAAAATTGATGTCACCATTATAAAAAAAAATCAGAAGATCTTTTCTCTTGTTTGGGAAACTTGAACTAACAATCTAGGGTAAAAACTAAGTGTGGAGGCATGAGAAGACATGGTTATGGTGATATTTTAATAATTGGACAATTCTTAGTTAAACCACAAAATTTAGTATGAGAATTCTATGTTAGTGATATAGTGTATAATGTATTGAGTAATCATTTTAATTATATGTCTTCTTACTAATGTATTGATATTATACTATTGACGAAATGTAACCGGCCAACGGGCCGGGTACAAAGCTAGTAAATTAAATGGGATAAACCTAAATGACATAAAACCTACGTTGATTATAAAATGATCTTATATTTCATAACACACGTGACATAATCTCATTTTTGAAAGGGATAGTGATGTGATCCTCGATACAAAGTCCTAAACTCCACGAACCATGAAGTAAAGTACAATCAATTACATACATTGATAATCTCGGTGTACATTCACTTTATAACCGAAACATTTGTGATAGTTTGTTATTGTCGGTTTTTTAGTTCTTATAAAGATGTTCAAGATTGATTTTGGAGGTAGAATAATTAATAAAGGTTTACAATGAAACAATTTACGAAATTTAGTTTATCGATCCACTAGTCCAATGATGCATTGGCAATAACGATTCACATTGCAACAATTTACGAGATATGCAGATACTTTAAAAAAAAAAGAGATTTGGCTCTCTCACATGCTTAGATAAATAAACTTTGTGGATTTTTATGTTTCGTGTCATAAGTATTTATCTACCTACCTATTCGTTTTCATGTAATTGACTTACTAAATCTATGAGGATTGGATGACTGTTTAACGATTATGTCTCCATTTAGTTGTAAATTAATAATATGACATGATATTGCACTGAAGGAACATATGTGATACTATCAAAATGTAGTAAGATTTTAGATTTGAACTATCATTCAGGAAAATGTGATACTATACTTACCTAATGTTGTAACCAATTAGGGAAGTCATCATTACTGACTGATAAGATCAGAGTCTCGTAGTGGAGGTATACTATTTGAACTCACTTTAATATCATATATTGGGTTATTAAGCATATAATGATGAACATACCATATAAGAAAGCAACTTTCAATGTTAAAGTCCTTAATGGATGAAAGTCGCCACCTTTTTAAAATGGACGACCAACTTTCTCAAATGTATTAATTTCCCCATACCTACGTGAACTTACATTGTCATCTTTGTTTATTGGGGCTTATTAAACTTAGTGTCAACAATATCAAGATATCCTAAAAAAATCAAACAATCATCATTTCTAGATCTCTAGTTTGCCATAAGATCATAACAGGGCGATCTAGATCATTAATAACTAGATCTTTGCAACACAAGTCTCTAAATAACGCAGTTAACTCATTTCATGGTTCACATGCTTCCTTTGGTAGAATCCCTCAATTGATAAGGGTCGCATGAACACATGACAAACATGGTAGCTTGAGACTATGAAAATTTTCCATCAATCGAGCTTGGTTGATTGTTCCACCCTCGAAATTGACTATAAAGTCTTAACGAACTTACCATCGTCTCTCCACTCATAATATCTCTCATAGCAATCGACTAGTCGAGATGACTGACAGAGCCATCATTCCATCAATGTTAACATTGATCCATCCTCTATGACAATTTAACCCAACAGATCCATACCCCTAGTGGTGGTTATTAGCCTCAAAATTAGGCCTCTTCGAGCTCATAAAGAAGGAAGAACTTGTAAGTTTGTAACAATAATACACTCACTTGATTCTTTTGCCTACCCCACCTCACTAATTTGCCATCCCTCTAGTACCTAATCTACCTTTCCTCAACGAGGTACAAGGTAACAAGAAAATGGGCAAACATTGAAAGACGATGGTGGCGAATGGCAACACCTAAAACCATCAAAGCAACCCAAAAGCCCATACTTAAAAGACTAATGTGGACCACAAGCCATCCATTTCATAAGGAAAAATGACGTCCAATTTTGGGCCTAACACAAACACAACGAAAAAAGAGGATAAGGATTCGAGGGCATATACGTCAATTCGGACCCCACCAAGGACATCCTCGTCATTTCCATCCCTCCACAACCCCCACCCAATGGCAAAATCGTTAATTTCCAAACCAGCCGACCCTATAAAACCCCCTTTCTCCCTTCCCAATTTCCTTTCGTCCCATTCATTCTTCACGCACTCTCCTCCCCCGGCGTTTTTTCTTGCTCCCATTTCTCCCGCTCCAATTTCTTCGCAAAGCCTCTCCCTCTCGAATCTCGATTCGTTATCTTTCTCAGATTCCGACCGCCGGCCGGCCATCCCGCCGCCGTCTCGGCGAGCTGCTCCGATTTTAGTTTCCCGTTTTTCTAATTGCCCACAAATAGCCTCCCTTTCTCTCCCTCTCTCTCTCTCTCTTTTTCTCTACCCTTCGCTTTTCAGTTATACCGGTTCCTTTTTTTCTCTTTCCCCCGCCCATCCGATTCGCAAGATGCTGCCACCTGGCGATTCCAGGAAGCGGAAAGACAGAGAATCAACGCCAGCGTTTTATTCAGCTGCCAAGCCATCGGCTCGGCTCGACTACCTCCACAAGCCGCCGCCGCCGCTGAATATGGCGCCGCCGTCTCCCACGCTGAGCCCTTCATCCAACAACGGGCTCCTTGCCGGGTACCTAGCGTACGAGTTCCTAACGAGAGGGACGATTCTCGGTGAGAAGTTTGACCCGGCGAAGTCGACGGAGGCGGCGGATAGCCGGAGAATTAGGAGAGGCGGAGCGAAGCCGGCGGCCGCCGAGGAGGGGATGATGAAGAAGAAGAAGGAAGACGAGGAGCGGAGCTATGCGGAGGTGGCGAGCATATTGAAGACGGAACGGGCTCACATTCCGGGGATTGTGAACCCGACCCAACTGGCCCGCTGGATCCGGATGTGAAAGAGAAATGGAGAAAGGCGCGGGGGGAACAAAAATGGAGTTTGGGATTGAATGCGAGTTCGTGTAAACTTGCAGCAGAAGAAGGTTTGGTGGGAGGGAGACAGGGGAAGCGCTGCTACGTGCCTACGTCAAGCTCCGACTACGCACTAAAGCTTTGAAGACCGTCGAGAAGAATGCCGGGCGTTGATCTTGCGCAAGGTGTAAACTTCCCGATAAGAAGTTCCTTTCTTCTGAACTTTCGGTAGATTCTTTCCATATTTTCTTCTGTATGAAATCTCAAGGTTCCTCATTACATTCAACAACTTTCTTATCATAAGAATCCCAATGTATCGAAGCTCGGTTTCTGTTTCTAGTCAGTCGAAGCTAGGCGGCAAAACTGTTTGTAATTCTTCACATTGAATGCCAGAAGATCCGTCGCATTTGTTTTGACGGCTTGAGCTGTTGGCAATTTGGTATTTTATTCAGAGGATGAAATCATCGGCAGAGTAGTAGTCAGCAATCAATCTGTACATGAACGATGGGTTGTGTCCTCCTCTGCAAGGGCATAAAATCAAAATAAGAAAAGACCATATATAGGAAACTAGGAAAGGTTAGCAGGATGATTGAAAGGACGAGGAAAAGCGTCGATCTTTTTCACTTACATGTCTGTGATGAAAAGATTGATAAGCTGCGGTGGAACGTAATCGAAGGCAGGGTTTACGACGTTAAGTACACAAGCACTGCTATCGGGTGCTAGTTCCATGCATTCTGAGAATTCCCCAAACTGGAGGAGATCAGATGGCGACTTGAGTTCATTCAACCGAACTACTGGGTTTTCTGGGTATAAAGGGCATAGCTGAAACCAGTGGAGTTCAGAGTCATGCTCAAACTCTAAAAGATATGGAAGATGCGTTTGAATTGATTCACCCGTTTGTTTTAGTACCTTGTGAGTGGCTGCAACTACAACGAACGGAACACCATGTTGTTTGGCTGCAAGTGCGAGCATGTTCAACCCAACTGGACCTATGATCCCACCATTAGCCATAACAGTATGAGCTCCAACCACAACCTGTACCACAAATAGGAAACGTCTTTTGAGTTTAACCAACTCCTGCATAGTATTTGTACAAAATGTGATCGGATAGTCACTGCCTAACCATGTTCACTCGTGAAATCATGGCAAATACTGCAGAATCTGTGATCAAAGTGGTCCTAAAACCTTCTGCAGATAGGTCCTTCGCAAAGCAGTGTCCTTGGTACCTTGTGACAGCCAAATTGTTAAATGAATCAGTGGCGATAAAGAATGGCATAGCCAAGAGAAGATTTAGGAAGAAAGAAAGACAGTGCAAAGTAAACTGCTGGGAGTTTCAGACTTAGGAGCTCCTTCAGCGACATAAACCCTGAATGATCTTTTCTTCTTTGCTGCACACAAGAACTCCATCACAGATTTTGATTTTCCAAAAGTCAGAATCACCTCACTGCACAAAAAACAAAGGGCCCTTGTCAGAGTACCTTGCATTGTTGTGCAGAGTTGGTATTCAACGTAAGGGTTGTATTGAGTTTACTTGTGATGAATGAGCTCCAATGCTTGCTCTGCAATCTGTTGGTGACAACCACTTATCTCTTCAACAAGCTCATTAATTGCTTCCATCACATTATGCTTCAACATCCAGGCTTTTGCATTCTTATCAGCAGGTGCTGTAAACCATTTGCATAATCCTTAGAATCTAAAACTAGTCAAAGATAAAAACGTCTGGCTTGGAACACAAAACCAAATAGGAGTATACCTTTTCTTTTGCCTCCCATATCGTCAGTATGCGCATTGGAGACACGGTCAAGTAAGCCATGCAGTGAAGGAGACCGCAACAACCTTCTAGTAGCCAAAACATCCGCACTGGAAACTTGACCATCTGCATAATCAGCTGTCTCTTGGTTATCACCATCGGATGGCAAACCATCTGTTACTCCTGATGCATCTTCTTCTCTGATGATACGCAACACCCTCCTTACAATGTTCCCCACAGAAAGCTCTGGAAGTACAAAAGTCTCCACTATAATTACGAACATTCATAAACACAACAAACCCATACAGCTGTTGAGAAGAGGGGTTTTCTGGACTAAACACTATAGCTCGCAATTTAAGGGTAACAGTAATAGGTAATTGGAATTCTAACTAAATCACAAGTCTACTAAAGTTAGGTTAAAGGACTGAAAACCATACCAAAGGGATTAGCAGCAATTAACTCCCTGCCAAATTTTCTCACAGTTTCAATAAGAATAGGAGCCTCAGCGGCCCTCAGTTGAGATATTACAGTCCGAAGCAACTCCGCTGTTAGTTGAGCGGTTGCTTGGGAACCCTCCACTTTCCTGCGGAATGAAAACGAACCCAGAAAATGAATTAAACCATGCCAATCGTACAATTCGCACAGTTAAATGCCCAAGATCATGATAGTAATTCGTTCTGGAGAAAACCCATCTCCCCCCAAGAAGATGATCAGTGGTGGAAAAGCAACATACGTGACGGAATCGAAATTCCGTCGAGAAGAAAGGGTCAACTGCCAAAATGAGAAGGGGGAAGCTGTTAAATCTTGTTAATCAGATCGAAATTATGCAAAGAAACTCACCGTTTCCGAAGCTGTGAGACGAACTCGTCCACGAGAAGTTGAGGTCCTGGCATGCTAAACTATAGTGATCAAACCCACCCACAACCCAGAATAAGCGCAGAGAATGTGTGGGTTAGAATGGAGAAGTAGCAGAGATTGAGATTCCAAAATCGACGCGCAAGTCTGGATTCTGGGAGCTGGAATCGAAGCCAGGAAACAAGGTGATTTGGAACAAAGGCACGGCAATGATAGCTTTGAAGAAACAAGTAGGAAGAATGGCTGGCTGGACAAAGAAATAGTTTCTTCAGTTTCTCTCTCTAGGGTTTATGGACGTTTATTACTCAATTTTCCCGGGTTCTGAAGGGAGGGAACTTTTCCACAAAGAAAGGAAATTTGGGCCTGGGTTCCTATCTATGGAATTTATTTTCATAGGTCTCTTGGGCTGGGCCGGCCTAATCATTATAAGCTTTCCCACACCAAAGTACCACTTAAACACGTTATTGCAATCATTGGAAGAACGGAAGTTTGGGCCTGGGTTTCTATAGTGGATACTTTGGAGGAAAAAATCTCAAAGTACACTAGTTATTAAAAAAAGGCAAAATACACTTACATAGCCATAACTATTCGCGTTGTGACAATAATAGCCACTTTTTGAAAAATACACTAAAATAGCTATTCCGTCCAAAACTTTAACGGAACCACAATACATGCTGACTGGACTAACGTCTCTTGATGACATGGAGACCTTTTTGTCTTGACTTTTTCAAGTTGAAAAGTCCCATTTATATTGTAAATTTGTAATAACTAAAAAACAAAAAATTATAAATAATGAAAAGTGACCTTCCCTTCCCTACCGCTGCGGCGCTGCCTCACCTTCATTCTTCAATCTCCTCCCTTCCCCACCGCCGCTTTACCTTCTTTCTTTAATCCCCTCCCTTCCCCATTGCGCTTCATCCTTCATTTTTGTAATCAAATCTCAAATCCAACACTGGTTTCTCTCCAAAAATATATCGCCTCCGTCATCCTCTCCAAGACCCCTCACCACCGCCAGATCGAAATTTCGTCGCCTCCAAATCCACCATCACCAGATCTGGGCTCGACCTCGACGACCTGGTTCTTCCCTCTCCGTGCTCCTCTCCTCATCCTCACAATCGGCTTCGCGTCTGATTGTTGATAAAATCACATGCCCATCCAGTCGGCGGTGTAGCATTAGAATCCATCTCCAAGCTATCTCCTCTGCACTAAACCCCCCTTTCGCCCACTCGTATGGCGCCGCCACCGCCCTCCCTTCCATGTCCTCGTCGTATTGGGTTCTCTTGAATCTGAATTTGGGTTCAACGAGGGAAGGGTCTGGGGGTTTCAATTAGGGAAGAGGTCGCAAAAGCAGATGGTTAGGGATTCGAGAGGCGAAATGAATTGTTGCCAGCGGATTCGATGGGAGAGGAAGAGAATGATTATATGATGGGTTTTACTTGCCGGCGGCAAGGTTGGGGTGAAACAGAAACATGGAGGATTCCATCGGTGTTTATTGAAAAAATAATTTTAAAAAATTTTCAATTAAAATATGAAGTGGAATTTGAGGTGGCGTCTAGGTGGTATGGTTTGTTATGTTGGTGCTGATGTGTAATCTGAGTTGTCATCCACATCAGCACAACATCCATGTTACTAACGGTGCTTCTAACGGTGTTAATTTTTTTTAAAGAAAATGGCTAAATTTGTCAACCAAGTTTGAAAAAGTGGCTATATCTGTGTATTTTTTAAAAAGTGGCTATTATTGACACAACGCGAATAGTTATGGCTATGAAAGTGTATTTTGCCTTTAAAAAAATTCCCAAAATACATAAGTTATAAAAAAAATCCCAAAGTACACTAGTACCGCAAATGAAGACTCGGCTACGGCGGTGGGAATGACAAGTGGGGGAGACGATGTGTGGCGATGGTGAGAACAACGGCATTAGCGGGGTGCATTGCTGAAGGAGAATGGCTGCGACATGATGGAGGCGGCATTGGGTGGTTGCAGTGGAAGACGTCGTGGCGGATTGGGAGGACCTAGCGGATTTGCTTATGGTTAGTTAGAAATTGGGGTCAAAGGGTAAGAGTGTCAATTTGGTGCATTTTAGAGCTATAAAATTTGAATTTTAGGGCGACAAATATCGATTCAGCATTGATTACCCCTTAAGAGTTAAGTTTAAAATGTCTTGACACCTTTAACTATGATGGAGCTAGTCCCAAATATTGGGAATACGAGTGATTTATTAACAAAGAAAAAAAATCTACAATAAGAATATTACAAGCTATTTTAATACTCAACGAATAGAGGAAAAGTTTTTGCTAGTTTGACCCCTCATAAATAAATTACCAAATCCCATTTAAGTGACCATCACCATACATGCATTGCAGTAATTTTCTTGCTCTTCACAACCTGTTTGGATTGACAAAAAAGTAAGGAATTGGAATTCCATTTCCATATATTATGTTTGGAATAATAAAATGGTTGAGAATTGAATTCCAATGGGTCTAAAATATGGGAATTACAATTCCTATCAAAAGTGATAGGAATTGAGAGAATGAAGATGGAAATAGTGGGACCCATCAATACTTTTTATTATTTTGTTGACCCACTATCATTTTACTCTCTTTCTCCCTCATTCATATTTCATTTCCCAAAATAAAACAAACATATTACATTATTCATTATGGTTAAAAGTGCAATTCATTTCCATAGTTGTAGGAATTATACCAAACACTAGAATTGGAAATGGAATTCTATAAAAATAAAAAATTGAATTCCATTTCCATTTCCATTTCTTCCGGAATTGTATCCAAACAGGCTGTCAAAGCTTAGATTCTTCAGTTGGAAATGTGCAAAAAGTGCAATACCGACTAGATCTAGATTGTTCTCTCGCATGTCCCCTCCACTGCCAGCACGCGGGTACAAAATTGGTCGACATCTGGCTTGCTTAGTTGCTTATGAATCTCCCGCCTGTTTAGATTGTTTTCTCCGAATGGTTTTCTGCCTCAAAGATAATATGTTGAATGCTTATTAAGAAGGTTGTTTGTTGCTTATGGAATTGGAACACATGGATAGCTCGAAATGGTTTTGTATGTGAGATCAAGATTCTTTCCCTGACCACTGAGGTTATTATGGTTGATTGTGACTTCCAGAGTTTGGAAAAAGCTAGGAATTGCTCGTGAATATCATCCTTCTCAGTCCAGGGGATCTCGTTCATACCCCTTACGACCGTTGGGTCTTTCCAAAACATAGTGCAATCTGGTGGTTCCTTTGTTTTTGAATCACATGTGGATGCCTATATATTACTATTGCTAACTGTCATGGACAAGTGTAAGACGACAAGATTGAGATTTTTCTTCTTTTCTTATAAGACTCAAATGGAAGTTTTTGCCCTCTTTCACGTTGTCAAGTTGGCGACTCAGTAACCTTGTCCCACATGTATCATATCATAATGTCGTATTTTGATACTAGCGTTAAAGTAGGCTCCAAATCTGTGGCATGACAATGTAAAACAACATTAGCTCGTTATGCTTGAGCATACTAGGTTGCTCGTAATGCTCGTTTAGATCATTTACCTATGAAATGAGTTGTGTTATCGCCGATCTTATTTCTCTACTAATGTATGATCTTTGCTTCCATTGATTGAGATATAGAATAAAAGATATCATTTATATATAAAAAAACAACACTATGATTATCAACTCTTGAGAACCCACACTCACTTTAATGCAATTCAATAGGTCCACATAAACTACGCTATGTGAGCGGGATGAAGATAATATATTCTCGAAGACTATTGGCTATTGCATGTCAAAAGATAACCAAAATCAATCTTTGACGTTACATAGTTTCTGAAGAAAAAATCCAACTCGTTCAATAAGTTAAACATACAAAACAAATTTTAGGGTTCCACGAATATATTTAAATTCTCACTGGAACTAAACATAAGAATTTGCTCTTGTTGTGCAATTTAGGCAGATTTCACTCGATTGCATAATTTGGACACAACTAACACAACTCCTGGAAGGGAACAAACTATTATCCATTTAGAAGTAATTCAAGGGGGGGAAAAGAAACTAATCAACGACAATGGTACAAGAAATTTCTAACCTAATATAAAAAAAAGATGTGTTAGAGCAATTGATGTAAGCTATATTGCTCCAACCTTATTCAAACACAAATTAACTATAAAAAAAGAAGTTCTAAAACCTATTGTGATTGCCACTTGGCCCAATACTGATCTCTATTCTCCTGAATAATTCTAAGGTAAACACCATCCTCTTCCGCAACCCAAAAAATGTTCTCCTTGTACTCCCTCCTCCCTTGGCCTAGATCCTCCCAATACGAATCAAAGCTAGCCCGACGATGATCATCCGTGGACACCTCGCACATCCACTTGGTCGTCCCGAATATGTTGGGCTTGAACCTCCACGTAAACTCCGTCCCAACAGCCACATCTTGAACTCCTCTATCGTCGTTCTTGGACCAGCAGTGAACGTGCAACACACCATTGTACGTTGTCAGCTCGTTGCTTACGTGAACATGCTTGTACGGCCATAAGCTCCACGCTGATGAAGTTCCGACAAGTGTTGTGATCACGAGCAGGACCAGAAGCAGCGACGATGTGGTGAGAGCGTTGACCATGGTCATTTTCCTGGTCTTGTTTCTTGTATCTTTTTCTTGATTTGTATGTGGTTTGTGTTTTGTGGAGGCTTTTCAACTAGGATTGGAGGGTTTATATAGGATGAGAAATGGACATGACACTTAATGGGTATCATTAGACAATTTACACCTCGGTAGTAATGAAGGAAATTGGGAAACCTAATCTTAGCCGTGTGATCATAATGGCAATGTTGATTGCTTGCAGGTGGGGATATTAATGTCATTGATAAAATAGCCTTTTTCTTGTGCACACAAAGGTTGTGGGATTCCCATTGATCTTAGTAGTTGTGCCTTATTTACAATTCCGCTCCTTTGCAAAATTGCCATTGGATCTCATATATTCTCAATAATAAGTGAATTTTAAAGCTAATTAATCATATAATGAGGATCAAATATGTTTAAGACATTTCACTACACCAAGGATTTTCTCTCCTTTATAGTTAATCAGTTAGTTTTTATTGTTCTCATGTTATATAAAATATTTAAATCTAAGACCTTTAAAATTGAAAAGCAACGTTAGAAGCAGTGGCGGAGCCACTTAGGGCTAAGGTAGGTCATTTGCACCACCTTGGCTCAAAACTATAGTATTTTTTTTTATGTAATTGTGGGTTGGATAGATAATCTCCTTATCATTGTAATAATTTTATGAAAAAGTAATATTTTGTGATCTCTATTTAACTTCTGATTAATATATTTTCCAGCTGACTTTTTTAATATAAACGAAAACTCAAAACTTATTGGTGTTTGTTGCTATTGGTTGCCATCAAAGTAGTCAAAAGCGCGTTCCTACGTAGAAGCATTTTGGTGATTTTGAAGCGCAAAACCGTAAGCTTTTAAGATTTAAAGTGCAGTTTTCAACTAAATTAGTTATTATAACTGTGATTATGCGTAGAAGCGTTTTGGTAACCTAAAAGCATAAAAAACTTAAGTTTTTAAGCTTTAAACCGCAATTTTGACTATATTAGTTGTCATTGCAAGTGTTGAAAGAATCCTTACAACAATGAATAACATAAAAAACACTTTTAGAATTAGATGAGTGATGATATCATGAATCATTTTTCGCAAAATAACTTAAGAATGACATCCATCATAATTTGCATGTAATTTTTAAAAAAATTCAATATACGAAAATGCATCCTAAAATTTTATTTTTTTCTCATATTTGACCTACCTTAAGTGAATTCCTGGCTATGCCACTGGTTAGAAGTGATAGACTTCATTTTTCGAAAAAATTGCTGTTAGTTTGACTCCTCACAAATTGTTTATCAAACCCCATTCGAGTAACCATCATGGGCTCATGGCTCATGAATCACTATGATAATCAACTCTTCTTGGGTAGCTTTTACAATTTAATAGTTTACTATATAAGTATATAGCAAATAATAATTTTGGACTCAACTCTTTTTTCTACCCCTATTTTGAAACTAATAGTAATTGCCTATAGACCTACATCTATTTTCAGCCTCCGAATAGCACGCTCTATTATTGGGTAAATGACACATTTGGTCACTGAGATTATTAAATTGTGTCATGTTTAGTCACTAGAAAAAATTAATATCAATTTTGGTCACTCGAATTATCGAAACTGGTCAAATTTAGTCACTCTCCCGTCAGTTTCCGTCCAACTCCATTAATGTAGTTGGACGGAAACTTTTGGGAGAGTGACTAAATGTGACATGTTTCAGTAATACGAGTGACTAAATGTGACATTTTTCAATAATTCGAGTGACCGGAGTTGGACAGAGGCTACAGAAGAGTGACCAAATGTGACTTGTGTCAGTAATTCGAGTGACCAAAATTGATATTAAATTTTTTTAGTGACTAAATATGACACGATTTAGTAATCTCAGTGACCAAATGTGTCATTTACCCCTCTATTATTTGATTATACTACAATGGGTTATAGGTAAAATATGCTCCTCTACTATAACGGTTTATCAAATATGCTCCTCAACTATTTTTTACATCAAACATGCCTCTGTACTTTGAAAAAATTATCAAACATGCCCTTCTGTTAAAATTTCCATCCAAAATCCGTTAACAAAGGCCGAACTTAGGTTTGGGTGACACAAATGTCTAAAATATCCCTAATAATTTTACTTTAGAATTTTTTTGGTTCTTTTGTATAACCAAATAAATCAAATAATTTCACTTTGAAGAAACCCAGAGAAATAAAACGGGAGACAAAACTGACATTTTCGCTCTTATTTGCAGATGTCGGATCGTCTAAATCTCGGTTCAACCATGATTGACGATTTTTTCAAAGAAAAGTTTAACAGAATGGCATGTTTGATAATTTTTTCAAAGTACAGGGGCATGTTTGATGTAAAAAATAATAGAGGGACATGTTTGATAAAACGTCGAAAATACCTTAGACCTCCCACCAACCATCTTCACGCATGCTTCATGTGGTCATTTGTTCCCAACCTCCTATTTGCTCGTTCTGTCATTCTTCTGGCACGCCCCATAGATAACCAACCACCTTCACACAGGATTTATGTTTCTTATAAAATAAGATAAAAAGGAGTTGATAAACATTTACATCCATTATTTCTACAATCAATCATACATCTGCTTATCTGAAGAAATCTTTCAAAAAGAGAAGAAGAAAAAAAGGTGGACTGCATAAATCACTCCAAGCTGTGAAAACTTAGACAACAATGGCAAATAATTAGTATCTGCACCTCTATATATCACATCTACTAATGCAAGACAAGATTGTATAAGGGGAAAAATGCATCTTCAAGTTACAATTTACAACTTAACTGTGCTTCATAGAGCCCCGACGAGAGCTGTGCACTAGTCGATCGGGGTCATCTGAACGGTTCTACTGGTGCAGTTTCTTCCAGCATAGCAGCAGCCTCAAAGCATTCCAAAGCATCGGCTGCTGATGCACTCGGATCAGCCTGATTGATCAGTCCAAGCTGGTACCATGCGGAATGGTTCAGCTTGTCGAATCGAAGAGCATCGGTGATGAAGCTTTTGATGACCGGCAATGAGTTGACACCGAGGAATTTGAGGACACTAGCAGTGGATATCAGGCTTGGGACATGGGATGGCTCGGCATCTAACGCGGCCTTGTAGGCTTTCAGTGCTTCTTGGTGCATTTCCTTCGCTTCGTACAGTGCACCTGTCAGAACCGGTAACCACAACGCTTCTGGTTAGAACATAATCTGAGAGCTGCTGTAGCTAATGAAAGGGGGGAATATGGAGGGTTTGTGTGGAGAAACTGATTTACCTGTGGCGTGCCATCTTGATGCAGAATACGGGTTGATAACAATGGATTTAGAAAGGCAGACCTCAGCATCTCGCAATTGAGACATGCTCGTGTATACGTTAGCTAGATCATGCCAGGTCTCCATTTCCAGCTTCCTATCACTGGTCCTGCTACTCTGCAAGAATCAAAATGAGAAACTGATTCATTATTTGCTCCGGCAAAGGCGATATTAAGTATGGGATCCTCGTGCTAATATATCCTCAGTATCCTTGTCCCCACGATTCCAAGATTTGGAATTACAATGCTCCTGCATAATGGAGATAATTTCAAATTGACCCACTTGATCAGATCTTTTCCCAGCTGCCAACCATGGCTTTGCTCGCAAACGAGGCACGTGCTTTTCCAAACATATTATACCTTAATCGGATTTATGCCATTTTAATTACTCTTAAGAAAACAATAACTACAGCTGAATAGGGGTGTCTTTTTCATTTTGAAAGCATTTTCCCATGTTTTTCATATAAAGATTAAGATGCTGCATATATTTTCTTCTAATCACATGTCAGAATGATCTGACCTGCCCCTCACGGATATTTCCAAACCTGATCCATGCGTAGTGCACAAAGGTTATGGGTATCATGTTAGCTGCTCTACCCTGCCCCATTGTCATTCCTACTGCGTAAGGAGTGTCAGGATAGTCACTGTACCTTGTGAAGTTTCTTCTCCAAGCCAGTGTTTTTGGTTCGAACTTGGAGAATAGCGAGAAGGCGAGTGTATGTCTCAATTGCACTCTTTAGGTGGCCCTGTGCCACTTGGATTTTCGCTTTTGTTCTCAACAGTTCACCATGATCCCACCTCCCAGTCTGATCTATAGCAGCACTGATCACAGTCTCAGAATCAGCAAACCGTTTTTGAGCAGACAGTACCCTAGCCAAAAGCACATATGTTTTTGCAGAAGAGCCAGCTTCCAGTCTCAAAGCCTGCTTTGCATAAGTCAGTGCAGCATCTAACTTCCTCTGCTCAGCATTTTCTAGGGCCAGATGATATACAACATAAGGGTCTTTCTCTTTCATCAGTCTCTCGGCAAGTTCAAGCTTCTCAATTGCCTCGGACTGCTTTACAACCCTTTCAGAATCAGAAGCAACCAATCTTGACTTATTTGAAAGTAAAAGACCCAAAAGGCAGTTACTAATGCTTGCTATTTGGACACATCTTCCAGGGTCACAAAGAGCTTTGCATGCATAAGTAATCCCTTCATCAACTTGCATAGAATTCTCTGCACATATCTTAGAAGCAAGCAATAGTTCCATGTTGCAGCTCTTACTTTCTCTATCCTTTAGGAAATTCCTTAGAAGATTTAGTGCAACTTCATTATCACCTTCCCCATGATAGCAAAGAGCCAGTGTACAAAATCTCTCTTGCCTTTCTGTAGTCCCTGGAAGCAACTCTTCCACTTGATAAGCAAGTGCCCTTAGATCCCCCGATACAGACAATGCAAAAGATAGATGATCCATGACTGTTGGATCCCATCCAATCTTCCTGAGCGCAAATTTTCTCAAAAGAATAAGTAACAGAAGGACTGCCTCTTCTATGTTGTTTCTTGGCACAAAAGAACCATCCATTTGGAAACGCAAAGTAGGAGGAATTGCATCAGTACCACTATACAGAAGGAAAATGGCAAACTCTTTCTGTATCCTAGCAGTTGTTTCTGTATCCAGATTCCAGTAATAGAGGAGGGCACGCCGGTATGCTACAATAGCTTCTTCGGGCGCCCCAGCAAGCTTACATTGCTCAGGAAGCAACTCCACTGCTTTGTTCAAAATCTCTTGCAACTTGCAATCAGTAGAAACCTGTTCTGATACACCATCTGGCAATGCAGACTCAACAGTGTCTAAAATTATTTTGCAGGACTGAGAAGCCTCTGCATAAAACATAACAAAAAGGAAAATGAGCCAAGCAAATAGTGCCAATTCCAATCTTAGGAATAACAGCCAGAACATACCAAAACAGTTAAAGCAGAAATTTGAAAGCCAAATGAGAAATGATGAATTATACCTGAAAACCTCCCAAGACCCTGCAATGATTTTGCCTTGAGAAGAACAGCCTCGAGAAGTAAGCTGATGGCATGCATGGACATTGGTGGAGCAGGATCACTTTGGGACCGTCGCCTATTCTGATGATCAATTTTCTTAGATAGTGCAACTTTCATCCTAGAAGTCACTGCAGCTATGTCTATTCCTTCAAAGACATGAAGTGCGCTTTCAATATTTCCCTTTTGATACTCCAGCCTCCCTAACAATGCTCTTGCTTCCTAAAATTTGGGGACCCCAAAAATTAGCTTCGTGAATAGTGAATCCTACCTCAAGGATTTCTTAGTTCAAACCCAGAAACATAGTACAAACTGAACAAGCACTAACCAAACATCTAATCAAGAATGCCACCTGCTATAAAGGTGACAACAATGCTGTTCTTTCGCTACTTACTAAGGAGTGTTAATCATTCTTTGCCAAGGACATAAACTTGGTATGCAAAAACCAAATCAACACTTTACCTCGTAATTCAAAAACCCACTCTCGCGAAGGGACAACTCTGCTTCTTCAATGTTGCTATTATCAAGCTTGGAGTCAGGCTCAGCGGCCCGAGAAGAATAGCCACTTGCTGAATAGTCCTTAGTTGCCAAAGACTCCGACGAGGAAGCAGCCATATCATCAACTCTTAACTGCTCCCCAGAGCGCATACACTTCATCATTTTCCCGAACCTCACGCTAAACCGAAGCCTCCAGTTCTGAATCCGAGCCTTAAGTGTCATTATCTCTCATAAAACTGGGAACTCTTCAATTGACAGCAGAAACAGGAACCATATAGAAGAAGAAAAAATAGAACAACAATTAGAGTACTGTCAGGAACTGAAAACCATGCAGGTCTGCAGGTGGTTCGTTCCTAAGAGAACCAAGGACCTTAAAAGGTAAAATCTAATCTGGAAACGGAATCAGACTAAAGAACAGAACACCATAAACCCCCCCAATTGTCAGTTCTTGCAGTTCCAATTTCTCGAGACCAAACATACTGAACCCATTACTATAACCGATGATTACATCTCCAAGCATTCAAATTGCCTCGCTAAGGCTGGGTTTCGGCTCGGTGCCTCAGAATTCTCCAAACAAACACGTGATCAGCAGACACACAAACACAGAAGAAGAACGAGGATGCGAGGTTGAGAACCCAGGAACCCAAAACAGATAAAGATTATGTTTTGGAAGAATTGAAGCCAAACCCAGATGAAAGCGGAGAATGCAGGAGAATCCGGCAAGAAAATATCACAACTTCGGAAAGAAACTGAAATAGTTAGGAGACCAAAACCCTAAACAATAAATATAAAATACTATACAGCAAGGAAAACGCGAATTAGGAGAATCAAATCAAGAGCTCGTCCAAAGAACGAAAGAAAGAAAGTACCTTTCATATCCGAAAAGCATCGAATGAGCCCACAATCGATCAATCCCACCACCACAGTACATCTCCTCCACGACCGAGGATCCAAAGCTTGGGAGGAGAACAAAAGTCTTTCTGCTTTCTATCTTTCTTTCTCCCAAACTTTGTTTTCTTCTGTGTCTCTCTTCTTATTCCCCTCCCAGTTCTATTCTACTCAGATGCTGATGCTGCCTCTTTTTTCTTCTCCCCCCGCTCACTTCCCTCCCTAAGCAGACTACCCAGTTCCCGAATCCGCCAATTTCTTTTTCAAACAATCGAATTGTTTAACAAGCCGAAAGATCTCCCATTAATTAAATTATGAAATCTAATGCTCTCGGAGTAAGATAGGGAAGGGAAGAAGCCAAGAAGGGCAGTGACAGTAGGAGCTCAGCTGAGCAACAGGGGAAATTGATTTTCTATTCAAATCACCTGCAACCGGAGAATTTTCACACTGCAGATTACAGAAAGAGGGAGACAAAGTAACCCCAAAATTATATAATATCATTAAAGCCTTTGAACCAAGTGGGGCCGGCAATTGAAAAATACACAGCTGTGTTGTAGTAGCGCAAATTAGTCAAAATTGTGCCGGCGAGGAGCCTCGTCGCCTGCTCATCAGCTGCCGTCCCCGGCACGCTACTATTCTGTTTCACCCATTTTGGAGGCTCATTAATGGTGGGGGGAAGCTAGCTTTCCTTTTACCTGCTGCAAATGCAAGTGGTGGTGAGCATGCGCCATGATGATGGAAGAATTAACCCTACATAACGATCAGAGCTGTTCATGCTTCGTGGAACAACTTTGTCCATCCTCCATAATGGCCAAATTGGCTGGCTTTCTTGAAATTCTTCCTTTTCAAGTGAACTGGTAATCATAAGAGTTGACGAATCATTTGTTCCAGAGGGCAAAGGGGAGGACATTTTGATTTCCATTTCCCCCTCTTTTTTTCCTTTTGTAGAAAAACTTTTTTTTTTTTTTTGCCCACTATATCGACTGCAGTCTGACGTCTGCAATTGCACACTGACTAATCCAATCACCTAATCACAGGCCTGAGGCCCAATACCGACTGATGTTCTTTCGTTAAACAGCAACGGCTACGGAGAGCTTAATGGACCACTCGGAGATTTATGTTGGCACGGAAACAGCCCGTGAAAGAGTCATTAATAATTTTCATAGTAATGATAATGATAGGGCCAGGCCATCCTGTACTGGACAGAACAACAGGCTTTTAATGCACTCGGGCTGGGCCCATATAACTTAATTCCCCACACACCAACCATTCCGAGCCCGACTTTCCTACTTTTTTTTTGGTAAGAAGACGGCGACATTGCGTCCTAATTCATTGACAAAATGGATCGATCCATGGATATGGCCATGGAATCGTACAGCAGCCAGTTACATAGATTAGGCTCATACACATCGAAGGAATGTGTACCAAAAGTAGCAAAATGACCCTTGCTCGCCAAGAAATCGGCGGCAAAATTTCCCTCTCTATAGACATGTGATACAGTAACTTCCCAATCAAGGTTTAAACTTTAAAAGCTTTCCAATTCGTGCTGCAATCAGTCTGTGGCGATGATCTGTATCATTGCAGTTCTTCATGATGGTGATCGCTGTCAAGGAGTCGAGCCTCAGCTCCACCTTGCGATATCCTCTATCCCACGCTCGCTGAAGTCCAACTTCTGCTCCTCTAAGTTCTGCCATGGTGATAGTGCAGCTTCCCAGATTACAGATGAATGCGTCGAGACATCTCCCAAGATGATCACGGAGGAGTCCCCCTGCTGTTGCATTTCCTGAGTTTTGCATCACTGATCCGTCAGTTTGGATTTGAATCCAACTCTCTCTGGGTGGTTTCCAAGCAATGGATGCTTGGAGGTAGGTGTTTTTGGTTGCCACGATGCTCATCTCTTCGTTGATCCTTGCTTGATTGTACACCTGAATCCATGACAAAATTTTACAAATCAATCCTGCCTCAGAGTACCTTTTTCCATCCAAAGTTTCTTCGTTCCTCTGTTTCCAAATCATCCAGCAGGAGATTCCAAAGTCAGTTCCCCTGTCAGCATCCTTGATGTTGTCTATGATCCATTGCTGGAAACTTCGATTATCTCCGCTTGGATGCCCCATCTTGAAGAAATTTCTGACCCCCTCTGTTTTCCTGCATTTTCGCAGAATGTGTTCAATCGTCTCCAGCTCCTCATTGTAGGCCTTGCAGCTACCATCTGTGGTTAGCTTTCTTCTGGTTCTTTCGTGATTTGTAAGAAGCCGGTTGTGTAGGACTAGCCAGAGGAAGTGCTTCACTCTACTCGGCCCTTTCCACTCCCAGAGCTTCTTCCCGTCAGTTTGAACTTCCTCTCCAGTCTCGTTTGCTACCAGCAGGTAGGGATGGCAACAAAACCCGAACCCACGGGTACTCACCCGACCCAACCCGGTCAACGCGGGTAAAATCCGTGTTGACGGGTTTTGGGCCGGGTTTGGGTTTAAACCCGTTCACTATTCAACGGGTTGGGTTGGGTTTGGGTTTAGGTAAACCCGGCCCGTGGGTACCCGCCCACCCATATGATTAATTTTTTCGGTATATTTAATATTCTAAACAACTAATCTTATTTATGTTTGTGGAGACATGTCTAATTTTTTTTTAATTGTGTAGAATGAAGTTGATGTTATGGAGTGGAGAGTAAAGAAACTTAATTGAAAGGAAGAAGCTTTCAATTAAATATGTTATTTATGGATAATTTGTGATTTGCTTCAATTTTCTTGAGTTTTCTAGATTAGTGTTGAACAATTTGTATAGTTAATTTGTGATTTGCTTGAATTTTCTAGAATGGTGTTTTATATATGGATAATTTGTATTGAATATTGATATTTGACTTTAATTTTGATAAGAACTTGTAATTGAAAAAATTTTACGACAAAACCCGTGGGTACCCATGAACCCGCGGATACCCAACGGGTTGGGTTGGGTTTAAGTTTTTCAAACCCAGTGGGTTTTACCCCGGGTTTTTTTCAAAGATAAACCCATGGGTTTAGGTTTGGGTTTGGCAAAACCCGACCCAACCCGACCCATTGCCATCCCTACCAGCAGGTAAGCTGATTTGAGTCTGAACCTTCCGTCTTTTTCCAGCCCCCAGATCGTGGTATCCTCTCCCATTCCTTGCACAGGTGCTTCCGTACCTGCAATTCGCACCAGGCATTCATTAGGGAGGATTCCATTGAGCTTGTTCCAATCCCACTCACCTTGTTCATTGGTCATCTCAGCCACAGAACAGAATCTCTCTTCATAAGTGAGAGTCTTCAGGCTGAAGTCTTTCAGCAGAGTCTCTTGATCAAGCCATGGGTGATTCCAGAATTCTGTTGTTTTCCCATCTCTGATGCTCTAGACAGTGGCTTTCTGCATCAAAGGGAAAGCTTTGAGAATTCATCTCCAGAGACTTGAGTGGTAGCTTCTCTTCAGGCCCGTGATTCTTCCATCTTTTTGGTGAAAATACTTTCCCTGCATCACTTTCACCCAAAGATCATCCTTGTTGTTCAGGATTGCCCATGCCAACTTGATCATGTAGGATAGATTGAGACTTCGAGCAGATCTGAGTCCCAATCCTCCTTGTTGTTTTGGGGTGCACACCTTCTCCCAAGACACCAAGTGCACTTTCCTTTTTCCTTCTTGAGATCCCCAAACGAACCAACGAATTATGCGATCAATGTCATCACAAAGTGAAACAGGCAACATTGATGTTTGCATAGCATAAGTGGGAATAGCGTTAAGGACAGAAAGAGAAAGAGTAACTCGTCCAGCCAAGGAGAGTGTTTTGGCCTTCCAGGCTGTGAGTTTTCGATCAATCTTCTCCAAGATGTACTTGAAGGTGGATTTAGAGACTCTTCCATGAAGCACAGGTACTCCCAGGTATCTCCCCAGGTCCTCAGTCTCCTGAATTCCCAGTATTCTGCAAACATCCCTTCGGTTGGAGCTTTTGGTGTTTTTGGAGAACAGCACTCTGGACTTCTCCTTGCTGATTTGCTCTCCTGAGGCAGAGCAGAAGGCCTCAATGCAATCCATAACCACCTCTGCCTGTCTCGGATTTGCTTCAGCAAACAGCACCAAGTCATCTGCAAAAAAAAGGTTGGATAGAGGGGGTCCTTGTGGAGAAAGCCTCACTGGCTTCCATCTCTTTTCCTTGACAGCATTCTCAATACAGTGGCTCAGTCTCTCCACACACAAGGTGAACAAGTAAGGGGAAAGAGGGCACCCTTGACGAAGCCCCCTGCTTGGGGAGAAGCTTTCAGATTCTCCTCCATTCCAGAGTACCTGCATTTGGGTGGAGGAAACGCACTGCATCACAATAGACACAATACTAGGGGGAAAACCAGCATGTAAAAGGGTCTGCTCCAGAAACTTCCATTCAATTCGATCATAGGCTTTAGCCAGATCAATTTTCATGAGCATCATTCCTTTCTTCCCTGCTTTTCTGGCCATCGAATGTACCGTTTCCTGCAAAATCAGAATATTGTCAGTAATATGGCGTTTAGGTACGAAGCTAGTCTGGTTTTGCTTCACAAGGGTTGGCATCAACCCTTTGATCCTGTTTGCCAAGCACTTTGCAATCGAATCTCAACCAAACAAATCCAAATTATACAAGGCTGTGTGTATTTCAAATACATGTAATTCAAATTCGTTGTTTGGATATTCATTTATAGTTTGTCTGTATTTCAAATTTTATAATTTTTTATTTGAATTTTCTTATTATTTACTACAAATTTATTTTTCTTACAATGTCATATCTTAACTTTTAAAATTTTACAAAAAGGTCCAACAAAATGGATGGTAAAATTACGTTTTGGTACCTTTATATGTTTTGTCTCATAATATAATACCTATACTTTTAAAATTTTACAAATAGATCCAATCTTTTGTCAGAAGGTATTTTTTTGTTTTTTGTTAGAAAGTATTTCAAATCACAAGTTATTGAAATGTATTTGAAGTTGACAAGTAATACAATAGGCATGTATTTGGAAATCACTCCATGAATTTGCCACAAATCCAAATACCAAAATATGATTAACATCCAAACAAATAATTTGACATTTATACATCCAAAACTTTTAAAATTCTATAAAAAGGTCCTGAAATTTTGGATGTAAATTTACATTTTGGTACGCTTATATATTTTCCCTCACACTATAGTACTTAAACTTTTAAAATGTTGCAAACAAGTCTAATCTTTTGTTAGGAATATAGGTGGCAATTGGACCGGATTCGTGGATTCGTGGATTGGATTGATGGATCTATGGATCAAATGGATTGGTGGATTCATGGATTGGATCAAATGGATTGGTGGATTGATCCATGAATCCAAATGACATCTAAGGTTTGGACCAAAATGTAAAATTTGAAAAGTTTTGGTACTAAAATGTCATAATGAAAAATTTTAGGTACTAGAATATAATTTTCCAATGATATTTTTCGTATAAAAATATAAATTTTAGGTACCAAAATGTAAAATATAAAAAATATAGGTACTAAATTGTAATTTGCCATTTGGATCCATGGATTGATCCATGAATCCACCAATCCAATTGGATTTGGATTAAATGGATTGGATTTAAATGGATTGGATTAGGTGGATAATTTGGTGGATGGATTGGATTCATGGATTTGGATCCCAATTGCCACCTCTAGTTAGGAAGGATTTCAAATCGCTAGTTGTTGGAATGTATTTGAAGTTGACAAGTAATACACTAGACATGTATTTAGAAATCACCCTAGGGATGGCAAACCAGATCCGCTTCGTCGAATATTCCCCGATACGACCTGTAATGGGGCGGATAAAATTCGATTCATTCATGAATGGAGCGGATCTCGACCCG